CGTGGCAGGCTTTGCTGAGGGCACCAATCCATTTGACTTCGTTTCCAGCATCAGTCTTCTCCAGTTTGATGGGGAACCCAGTGATTGCAGCCCATAGCAGGGACTTTCCCAGCAGTGTTTTGAGTGCGGGATTCTGTGAATCGAACACCATGATGGGATCGTCCACGTAAACCTGCATGGCAACCTCGGGGTTTACAACTGCGAGCGTTCGTCCAAACCAGGCAGCAAAACGTCCCCACAAAGTTGGTGAAGAAACGGACCCGAACACCAAAACGTCGAATGTGAGAATTTGTTGGCGGCCATCTATGTTCACCACGGCAGAGGTATAGGCCCTGAGTCTTTTCCCGCGGGAATATGTGGAATGCATCGCGGACATCAATTGCGAAGAATGAAGGTGTTCCTCCTCTTCTGAATATGTCCAGAGCGTCTCCTACAACATCGCTAAGGCGGGGAAGGAGAATTCTCTCGCCTTGTGAACACAATTTGTTGACACCACTTTCTCTAAGGTCCCAAATGATGCGGGCTTTCCTCTTGCCAGCCCTCTCTTTAACAATTACACCCAGCTTGTTGAAGGTCGGTTCGATCCCCACCTTACACGTTGCCTCCTCGACCGAGTCCGATAATGAACAGAATCCTTTGTCCAACGCATCCCGAACAAGTTGGTTGAGGTCTGGTTCAAATTCGTTGGCTGAAGGATGATTTTGCCAGCCTTCAAATTCTCTGGCCAGGAGTTTGGCTGCTTCAAGATCCCACTTCATCGACTCCACCGGCGGGAATATGCCTGTGTTTGGAATAGGTTCCGAGAAACCCAGCGGTGCCCCGGTTTGTAACCAAGAGGCGAGAGTCACTGAGTCCGGATCCCCCGTGGCTTTTCCCCATGCCCAGAAGATCTCGGGTTGAAGTGGGGTACGTGCTGTGGCCGACCGAATGGGCAGACCCTCGATGTCGTTTCCCAACACTTCTAGCACCGAACTTCTCAAGTGGTTAATGAGACGTGAGTCCAGTGGTTTTGCCGCTTCGCCATTTAGGAGGAGGTCAACCTGACTGAGAACGGATTCGTGTGAAGAGGCCAGGTGAAGTAGATCTCCTATAGCGTTTCCAAAATGTAGTGATTTGGGGATCTTTGCGGCTGATGTAGCTGGGTTTCGCATTCCTCCTATTGCTGCCTCGTTTTCGATATCTCTGAGCTTCTGAGCTCTATCCAGCAATTGCGGCCCGTAAAAATTGCCGTGCCCTCAGCTTCGTGAGGGTGCGAGCTCTCCTTTCAGAGCTGTGAGCATAGCCGTTGCTCTGGACATGCTGACACTCACTGTGGCTTGGGCCAATGCGTAGTTCAGCTGTGGAGGATACTCTGCCAACGCTTTGCTGGCTCTCTCCTTCTTCCCCTCGTCGTTTGTTCTCCATCTCTGCACCAAGGATTCGTGTGGCGCTTTGTAGGTGGAGCCGTCCGTTCTCGTCCACTGTTGAACTGGGTGGTTGCATCTGAGGTCTCCGATGCCCCAAAAGTTCATGTGGAACGACATCAGCTTTGTGGGCTTCCGAACTTCTGCTCCAAACCTGCATTGGTCAAATTCGGTGATCCATACGTTGAACTCTCTGACGAGGAACTTCAGGGGAGTGGTCTTCCATAGGTCCAGCTTGTCTTTGTGATCTGGGTTCTCGATCCAGAAGGCCCTGCCCGCTGTAGCTTGGATTTCCGCGAGCCTTGCTGATAGCGCGATGAGGCGGTTTGCCTCTTTGAGCTGAATCCTTTCACTTTCGGTCAGCTCTTCGCTTGGCAGCCCATCTGGCTTATCCACAGATCGCAGCGGTCTTGGGCCTGGAGGTGATTCCCTGAGCGGTGATAGTGTTTCACACGGGGTTGCACACCCCACCACGTCGTACATGCCGGTTTCCGTGTCGGCTAGGATCTTGTCGAGGTTGTGCTCTGACAGCACATCGGTGGGCTCTGGCGCCACCTTATCGACGATGACCACGATCCATCCTTCTGCTCCGAGGTAGCTAGCCAAGTCCCCGGGTCTGTGCTTGCCGCTGAATACCAACAGGCATCTCGGTTGGTCAGCCCACAGTTCCGGTTCCAGGTTTGTACAACCGTACCTGTACTTGTGCCACCTCGTCACTTTGGGAAGGTCTCCCACGGAGGAGATGTTCTTTGCAGTGATCCACAGGGGAAAGTCGCTGATCCTTCTCTTGATAGGTGTTTTCGACCGGCTCCTGCGGCGGGATTTTCTCCTGCTTCTCGACCTGCGGGTCTCACGATCGGGCTGACTCCCGCTAGGGTGTGAATCACTGCCACGCCTTGGTGGGGGGCCAATTGGTGATGCTGGCCTCCTCTTGGAGTTGTCTCCCTCTGGCGTGGGCGTAGGCGGAGGAGCTGGCTTCGCTTTTGCCGATGTCCCTGGTGTGGCCGGGTCTGTCCCGGGAGCCGTAGTCAGCGTGGTGTTTCCACCTTTTCAGCTCTTCTGTCGCTTGCCTCCTGTGCACTTCGTGGCCATATGCGGGCCAAGACAAAGGTTGCATTGATGGCTGCGATTGTTCGGGCATCGGGATTGCGCTTTGCCATTGCCGCATTGATTGCGGTTGAACTTCTGACAGATCTGTATCCCCTTCCGGTTGAGAGAGAAGGCGCCAGCTTGCCCGTCCCAATGCGAAAGGTCTTCACCGGCGTACTTCCTCTTCTTCTTCTTCGGGGGTTGATCTGGTCTGACTTTCTTGCCTCCTCGGTCTGAATCGGATGAATCCCCGTCCTGTCTGGCTGGTAGGGATTTGTTCCGTGCTAGCAGTAGGGTTGCTGGTGTCACGACTTCTTTGGTCCAAAAGTCTCCTTCTTTGACAGCCTGCGCAAACACTGCTGACCAAGGGCTTGCACGGGTGTAGCCATAGTTCGGGTTTTCATCCAAGGCTCGGCGTATCCTGTCCTGAAACTCGGATCTCATACGCACGTCAGCCCTATAGATGATCCCCCAACATTCACGGCCAAACTGCCCATGAAGCTCTTTGATGTGATCTGCATACGCGTCCAATCGCTCGGATTCGGCTGCCTCCAGGAGAAGCAAGGCCGTCTTGAATGTGCGAAAGGACTTCTCCCAGTTGAAGATCGAGTCAGGCCCTGGAGCTTCGCGCTTGGACCACTCTCCTGTGGCAACATTCAGTACGTAGGAGGTGAACACTGCTTTTCTCAGTTGTCGGAGTCCGTGGGGTCCAAACACACTGAAATCGCAATATGGCAGCGCGCCACTTCGCAACATTTGATTGATACCCGACAGTTGGTCTGCCGAAGGTTCCACTTCTTGGCTTGGATGGTCACCGAACTTTGCCTTGTATGTACTATACATGCGTGCCACTTCTGACTGCTCTAGCTGAATAATCTCAGCATCCAGCGTTGGGTCGATCACGCTGCTCAGTTTCAGCTTCCTCGTGGGAGAGGTTGGTGTTGAAGTACTTGGCAAAGGTGAGACTCCGATGGACACTACTGGCGGTGCGGTTGACGATCCAACGTGATCTGGATTTGCACCAAGCCGAAGTAAGGTGACCCTTCGGAATATCTCGATTCGAGAAGCCTCAACTGGGGTGAGGTCTCTTTCACTGGTGGTTGTGCCAGATGAAGTATCGATCTTTAGCCCTGCCACCATGTTGTCCCAGACCGTCCGGTTGATGAAGGCAATGTCCCGCAGTTTTGAGGGCTTGCCCAGAGCATCCATCAATTGTTCGTGGACTTCTCCAGTTGTGCCGGCCCAGTCTGCAACATGCTGAAGGGTGGCCATATTATTGAGCTCTGCGTCGGTGGGGTCCATGGCTGATCACGGGACCTTCTCTCAACGGGATGAGCTCTTGGTCGAATTGGATCTGCCTCCTGGCAGATGCTTTTGGGCTTGCCACCGCAAGCCTTGCCCTTCGTAGGGTTGTAGGTGTGCCTTGCTCGGTGTTCCGCAAAGAGTAGTTGCGGTAGTTGGAGAAGGCAAGGCTTATGAGGCGGCGACGAGACACAAACCTTATGGCCTTCCTGGTGAGGATGGCCCAAGGTGTGTCACCCACTTGGAAGCGAGCTAGTGGGTTGACCACTTTCCACGCGGCCACCACCAGGACGCTCAAGAGCACACCGGTGATGAGTGGCCAGATGCCCAGATGGTTTCCCACCTGAGGCCTGGTACCGGATCCCAGGTGGCCTCTCCCCACCTAACCAAATGGGCCATAAACGGAAAGGATCAAACCCCACAGGCTCTTGAGCCAAAATGGCCCAAACGAGCTGCGGATGGTAAGTCCCTCCCACAACTCCCCTTCTGATTGTGTCTATTGTTACTTTCACAATTTCTTTGTTACACACAACAAAATCAGGAGGCCTTGTTTCCTTTTATACCTACTTAGAGCGATTCACTTGTCTCGCTCCATTATGGAACCTACCTCTCTACGCATGCCGTTAATTCAAGAGTGCTAAGTATTCAGTCACTAGCTTCCGGGATGCTTTGTTGAAACACCTACAAGTCCACCGACCTTTCACCTTTCGGTTCTGCTCTAATACCCTAGAGTCAAGCGCTGTGCTTATCTGACACCACACTGAAATTGATGTCATGATGTTCCCTCACCGGAACTTTAAGTCAAAGTGTGTGTGTGTGTGTGTTTGCGGCCTTGAAACTTCAGTCTCAGGACCATTCCATGGTGGGATGGCAACTGTTTTGAAGACTACTGATCACAGAACTGGAGCTGGCCCCCAACAGAATACGATCATGCTTTGGTGCTCCAAAATGTTCAATACAGTGCTTTTTTCATGACCGGGGTCTTGTCTTTGGAACTTTGCATATCAGAAAGAATTTGGCCTGGCCATTGCATATAATTTGCAACATACATTGATATGGGCACGCGCCAAAGGTTTGCATTTTCAGTGGGATCCAAACAGGAGATGTTCAGTCCTCGATCCATCTAGTTAGGACATGTTCGCCTTAGTCGGAAAACTGCTATGGGGGGACGGGCGACATGGGCTGCCCAGCAGAACAAAACAGCGCCTGCCAAAAGAGAGCCAATGCAGGCTTCCACTGTGTGTTGTTGCCACAAGCTGTAATGGTCGAGTTGAGGCCTGCAGAACTGAGCGCTTGGTTACTGTAACTCTAACTCCTCTGAAGCTCTTGCTGAGTTGATGGGCTGGCGATATTTGAGCTGGCTGGGCCTCGAGCACTCTTCACTGTTCAGTGTTCCACTCAAATATAAATGCTTCTGGGGCATGTTGCTGACCCTTCCCACGCTAATAATAGATCTTGATCGTGCCGCCACGATACAACTTTGAGAATCGGTGGCTGGGTTACAGGTTGCTGGGTTGCATCCAAGGCTTCTCCGCTTGTCAGTTGTAGCTGGGAAAGATCAGAAACAACACCGACTAAAAATTGTGCTCCGATGTTGAGATTGTACAGTCACTACTGTACTTGCTGGTCCAGAAAAACTGCGACAGCTCCTCAAGCAAACCTACAAGCTAATGATAATGACAATGCAGCTTCGTCACTACTTTAACAATTTGAGGCTTTTACCAAAGCACACAACGCCCCAAATTGTCCAACCCACATCGGTCAAACAGTAGCTAATTTTCACGTAACATCTTACCGTTTGCGCTCGGGTTGAATATCGCGTGGGGTGCTTGTGTTTCCTTGTCACTTGTGGTGTTGCTTGCGGTGTCTGGACAAATTGTTCTTAGTCAAAAGAAAGTTATGCTTGATGCGAACTCCAGAGCAAAGGATCTATCCCCAGAAGCAACAGCATTCTGGCAAGCAAGCAAGCAAGCAAGCAAGGAAGGAAACCGTTTCAGGCAAGGACCAAACGCTTTTTGTACTCTGTCAATTTCCCCGTTGCGCATCTTTCTGGAGTTGGATCTATATAAGGTCTTACTTGCCTCTCGATTTCTTCTTTTGACCCTTTCTGTTTACACGATGTCCTGTTTTTATTGAAGGAACAAACAATACAAAGCATCTTTGCATTTCAGATTATTTACCAATTTACCAAGCACGGAGAGGCCACATACTCGGCATTAAAGGAAGCTTAGGAGTTTCATAGGACAACTATACTTAGAAAATATGCCAAGCAAAGCTCGCAACACAACAGACGCTGAAGAAAAGAACCACTAATGTGTGCGTGCTACAGTATGTTTTTACAGTACACGTACGCTACTTACGATGTATGCTGCATGGTATTTCAATAGGCTCACAACTGGCGTGGCACCATCTGAGCAGTGAGTTGATGGGCACGTTGATGGAAATTCAAAATTCCAGACACGAGCCGAGGATTTCATACAAGCCGAGGATTTCACAACTCGCATAGTGCACAGGAAGTGAAACTCCTGGCGGCACGCCGTGGGCTCGACTCAAGACAACCAGACATCGCTCTAGACAAATCACAAGCCAATCACATGGCAAGGAGGCAACACAATGAGCACCACAGGTTGCAACAAATCCCCACAGAATCACCGGAAGTTGCTGCTACAAACCACACCACAAATGGCCCAAGCACCACCAACCACGCTGCAAACGGCCACATATCAAACTCATCAATTGCAGCAAATCAGCAAGCACTACAAATCATCTCAAGAGACTGGTCTTCTGTTTCAACCATTGACCTCCTTCCCATCCTTGCAATGGTTGTGCTACACACTTATATATCTGGAGAATACCTTAGCTGTGTCTCAAAAAACTCCACGTTTTGGAGCAAGGCGAGCTTGCATCTCATAACCGCTTCACGCCAACCTCAAGGCTTTCCAGAACCCACAAAAGCTCGCAGGCTGGTATGCAGGCGTGTCTCAAGCGGTGTGTGGCTCAATGAACCCACGCCCACTATGCTTGGTCGCTTAGCTTCCGCAATGGGGTCCTAATGAGGCTCATCATCCAGAATCGCTGTGGATGTTGAGCACTTGAATGGGGGAATGGTGCTTGTTTTGGTTTTCATAGTCAGTCGAACACCTTAGCTGCAGCATCATGAATCGCCAAGTGCAAACTGCCACCTTCCGGCTTCAGCATCAAGGGCAGGCCAGTCAGCATACATAAGAATCCCCAATAAGAGAATTCATACTGTTAGATGCGATAATATCCAAAACCGCGCACTGGATTAAAGTAGCTTAAGCCATCAAGTTATCAGCACCGGTTGATGTTAGTCCATAGTCCACTTCCACGTCTGGACAGATGCACTAAAGTTCTGAAATCAACAACATCTGGACAATTAGACAACGTCAAAATGTTCAGCGCGTGGGGACCGCTAGAAAAGAGGCTGACTGCATCAAAGGAGGTCACCAAAGGAAAACTACTTGAGAAAACCTTGGAAGTGTGGATGGGATTTCAGTTTCGCTACCACAAGAGCGGGATCAGCACACACAAGAATGAGATCCAAATTCAGAATGCAACACACGCCTGCCCTTTAGACCCAAAGTCACTGGTAGTCTGGAAGAAAAGGTAAACGACAAGAGATTTTGAGTGAATCCTTTACCTACGGCCTGGGCTGTTGGCAATCTGAACAGAATAGCTGAAATTGGGGCAACAGTGTACAAACAAATACGCATAAAGCCGAGACCCTGAGACCCTTTCTGTTGTGATCCTTCAACTGAGTCTTGGACCACCCTCACCATTCATACTGCTGAAAAGGTGGATAGCTTCCTGGCGGTCGGGCGCGATGCACTTCCACCATTGGCTGACAATACGGAAAGCTCTTCTTGGCTTGGCTGCTCCCGGCTCCTTCCATCGCCCAGCAAGATCTAGAACTTTGATTGCAGCCTCGCATGCGACACTCTTCTAGAAATCAGCAAATCAAGCTTCAATTGTTCTCCAATCTTATACAAAGCATGCTTCTTGGTCAGCAACGTTGAAAACAGAAGCTCTTGGTTCAACTCGGCGAGCTGGCATTGCCTGCAGTGGATGTTAGGCTAACAGGCTTTTCTTGCGGTTGAACGTCAGGCCTCCAACATGGCCAGCATCATTTCCCAGCGGCCTTGTCACAAAACGCGGATCGGCACATCCATAAGCATAGCTGTACCTGGCCTTTTGATAGTCCATTGCCAACAGCCTCAACTGATTTCACAATTTCGGCTGAGGATTGTGACGGCCACACTGGGCACCAGAATGCTCGATGCAAACGTGATGTGGTCGGGTTTAGGTCCTGCAAGGAAATTGCAGGTGCAGCAAGCTTCTGAAGCTTGAAGTCGTGGGTTCCAGTGGAGGAAAAATTGATTGTCCCACGCTCGGCAAACTAAAGCGGCCCAAAGGAACCCTTGCGGCAAGAAACAGTTCTCCTGCACAATCCAACAGACGCTGAAGCAGGGCAATGCCAGCCTGCGTAAGAATTCATCAAGAAACCGAGCAAACACTGGGCTTCTGATCGACCAAAGCCTCCAAACCTGTTTTACTTGAACCATTTATCAACTCCAGCAGAATACTATATATATATATACATGTCAGCTGGACACAGAATAACACTCAATGCGTTTTGAAGATTGAAGAATTCGCACTTGGGATCACAACAGCAACGCTCAATCCAGGGGGCATCACATCCTCAAGATCAAAGCACAGCCTGCCAAGCTGCTCCAAAGCGGCATGCAGTTATTGCGGCATTGTAGCAATGAAGGTCCAACCCGCCAAACATCGCCTTGGGGCAAAAGGCGGCAAGCGGTTTTGCTTCTCGCGACATACTGACTTACTCCATTTGAAGTCAGTAGAATGCTCTCTTCCATGTCGTTGTTTCTGTAGTGATGCTCTCTATCTCTCTGCCTTTGGCTTTGCCGCTCGGTGGAATTCTGCGATGGCTTCTTCCTCGATTCACTGACAGCTTGGGAGCCTTGCTCCGACTTCAACCGGCTTATCACTGCATTCCAAGCTTCCCATTGCTGAGATCGTCCCAAAGACACCAGAATCTGCGGCCTCGTTAGGTAACTTGGTGTGCCTTGACAAATCATTAAAAAAAAAAAACTCTGGGGCTTGTGCAATGCACGGAGAGAGGTCTCTGGTGATCTCATCACCGTGGCTTGTTGGCCGTGCCATTGGCCCTTTGTGCTCTTTCGCTTTGAGACCATCTGAACTTCCCAACATCCGGCCTCCTAGGTTGCGACTAGATCTCCTGCAGTCTCTTATAGGCACGGACTTAAAAGTAGTTGGCATGTGCAAAGAGCTCTGTAATCAGCTTTGGATGCAACATAATCAAGCTGAACGAATGACTCACTGATGCTTGGTGATAGCGGCTGCTGTTCCCCATGAATTGTTTGATCAAGGTTTACTCTCAACACAGGTTGCGTCTGAAATTCACCAGTTGTGTCCATTCTAAAGGAACCCATTTTTGCGCTCAAAATATGTCGTCTTGTCGGTACCTCTGGAAAGCTGCTGGTAGCTTAAAGTTGCGCCTCAGCTGGGGGCTGCAGTCATACGGCACCCCAAGTCAAGGCATCTAAAGTCCAGATTCGAACCGAGGAGCTTCACCAGAGGAAAATTCTCCTGCGAGCAACCACCGTTCAGGGGGGTTCTGCAAAATAAAAACATTGATAGTCCTATGTCTTCAGAAAAACAAAGAGGTACTTCGCTTCGGAAAACTTTGTATGATGCAGGAGCAAATGGCGGCAAGTTTGTTTTACTGGTGCTTATCCAACTGGGAGGTCTTTTCGCTGTCCTTGCATTTTGTTTGCATGCCGGAAGCAGGTGTTCTTTGCTGTGGTTCGGGTACTGTAAATGTACTTGTCACGTAGTAAGCACCACTTTAACAACCATGGTAAGCATGGCAGGATGCAAGGAACTTGTAGGGTCCGTGGGGCAAGTATCGAGCGAAAGGGACCCTGACTCCCTGACCACCCTGACCACCCTGACTTTATATACAGTAGTATATTCTGCCGCCGAGGAAGTAGCTCTAAGGCCGTCCTCGGAAGGTACGATGTAGAGGTCAGGCGGAATCATTCGAAATCTGCATGCCACTGGACAAGTTCACTCGAAATCAGCCGAATAGTTTTTCTTGAAACAAACCATGATGTGTATGAATCTATAGGTATGGATGTGGTGTGCGAAGTGGCTGCACACAAGTGTTCGATATTCTCATTGACGCATTTTCTCAGGTTGCATTAGCGCCTTCTGTGCATGTTCAGAGGTCGCGCTGCCTGCACACAAGCGCACAGGAAGCAAGGAACTACTTTCCAGATAAAGAACAACATCAGGATTCCCGACCCAAAGGCAAAGCGCTGAAAGCCACTCACTCAGAGGTCTGAGGCCTTCGTGATAGCAAACTCATGTTGTGTCTGTCTTTCCTCTGGCTTCACCACCAGCTCAACATAACGCTGCTGCACGTCATCCTGCTCAAAGCTTGTCCGTTTGCTCATCCAGTTCATCCTCACCAACAAACGTCCTGTCCTCTCGCCGCTGCATTTCCCAAGATATGTAGATCCTAAAGTCAGTGCAACGAGCACAGGAAAACGTGCCAACCGAGCACCATCACATGCTGAGAACTGATCCATGGATCTCCAAACTTGACGTCATAGCCTCCTTCCTCACCAGGCCTGAGTCAAGTCTTGACCGAGCATTGGCTCTCAAGGAATGACCTATACATAATTCTTCATGATATTGGGATGGCCATTGTCTGAGGGACGTGCTTGATGAGGTTAAGAAGCCACTCATCGTGCTCTTTAGTCCATGGCTTGCCTTCATTCTCCTCAGTTAAAGTGGTCCACAGCGCAAGGTCAGAAGATCCAAAGGAAACAGAAACTTATGAACGACTTGAACGATCGACCAAAGTCTCACTTCCACTGAGGTTCTGAGTCACAAGACGCAAGCAG